CGAGGCGTACATCTTGCAGGCCAATACTACACAACCACCATCTTAAACTTAAATTCTTCTCTAACATGGGTATAGAGTTTTCCTCACAATGTGCCAACAACCAGAGAATCCAATCCACAACAGATAGATAAATAACAATAATAGCACATAAGAGACAAAATAATTATAAAAAAATGTAAAATAAAATAAATAAACAATCCTAACATTAATTGCAAATCAAACTAAAATAGGCTTGACTATCTTGAAGTATTGTCTACAGCAGAGTCGTCAGCTGTCGTAATGTTAAAAATACCACAGGCGTCCGCACGCTCTAAATAACAACAGAGTCGCCAATAAAGTTTATTTATTCCAAAAGGAAAGGAAAAATGCTGATAAAATCCTTAAAGAAAAAATAAAACGGTTGTCACAACTAAATTCGGATTTGAGAGTCGATTATGCAAGAGAAAAGTATTAACACCCTCTCACATTTGTTGTACTCAACGGAAACCGTTTAGTTAGCTTTGCGAATATAAGTGTTAGCTTAATGTTATTTGCTTTCTTCAAATTATTACAAGTTTGAAAGGAAAAGAAAAAGGATTAAAAATAAGTTTTTTATTAGGGTGTCTGACGAGACATTTAATCTCACTCTTATGTATTCTTAGATGCGATGGAGAACTCAAGGCTACTTAGTTTTGGGTAGCAAATGTTTATTTGTTTGTTGATTTTAGAGTATGATATTTAGTCGCATTTGAACAGAAAAATTGCTTGCTACCCAAAACATGGAGAAATGAACATTTGCATTGCATCAAAATGGACAACATAATCTAGATTCTTGCAGATTTATGTTCTCGTCACATTCGTGTAGAAAATTTTACTTACTACTTGCACATAGTAGGAATGAAGCGTTGTTCGCATCGTCTCGGAATGGATGAAGCATCTTTCATTTATGAAAAGGTTTTGACATCGCGCTACGGCGAAAAAGATTTGATTGGTTGAATTTATTTTTAGGTGGATAACGAGTATCCGAATGGTCAAGCTATACGGCTTGTATCCAAATACTTGGGAAAGAAAGAGGCTAGCCTCAAAATAATCATTTTTCATCCAATTTTTTTGTAAATATTGTGAAACAAATTAAGTCATGATCCCTTACAGGAAGACAAATATTCAAATGGTCAACCCATACAGTTCGTATCCGAGTATTTGAAAAAAAAAATAGGCATATGTCCAATTAGTCTATTTTCATCCACCAAAGAGTGAATTAAATTCGATTAATAATTGTATTTTGAATAGAATACGAGTATTCGAATGGTCGAGTTATACGACTTATATCAAAATACTCGAGGTAGAACGAGGCATTCGCCAAATTAAGAGAGGATGCTCAGCTTTCAACTGTTTTGATCGTAATATGCTCATGAAATGAAGAGAGGATGCTCAGTTTAGCAATGAAGCTGGAACTTCTTCACTATCAAAAAAAAAAAAAAGTTCTCAGATCAAGTAACTTCAAAAATTGCAGAAAATAGAAAGGGTTGGTAAAAAAAATTTCGATGTTTTCTACTCTCTGTATCTTTTATGGCTTCCCTATGAGTGATATTTTCATTGGGTTTTATAGGATGTGTATAATGTTTTCAATTGTGAGTGTGTGAAGGATTTGTAAGCATGTGAGAGGCAAAGATATTTTGAAAATATCTTGATGAATTGTGTGAGGGTGAGTTTATGGTTTAGGATAGGAATAAGGGATTATGTGAGTTGTAATTCTATTGGTGAGAGAGAATGAGATCCCTAATTTTGTGGGAGTAGGAGTTGAATCCGTGTGGTAGCTTTGGTGTATTGGCCATGTGCTAATTTTTTATGTTTTGTGTAATTTTATACCAAATGCACATCCTCATGTAATTAGCAATGCAATATTGGATTGAATACAAATTTGGACATTATATTAATTTGGTCTCATCTCTTTCTTAAATTCAAATTCAACATCCCAATGTTGGATATTGAATTCAAATCCTTTTCGAGGTAAAACTTTGAATGAGTAATAATTGAATGAACTACATAAATTGATGATGATAAATGTTGGATAATATTTTATGATGATGTATGCTTGTATGATAAAGATTAATAAAAATGGAACTTGAAGATTGCTTGGTTTTCAAATGGTTTAAGGGGGATGAACCATGTATCGTGTATGAATGCAATTTGATTCAATTTTATCCTTTGCAATTTTAATTTCAATTTGATGAAGTTGGATAAGGTTAGAAATAAAGTTTTGAGTTAAGACAAATGAGACAATGTGTGATTGCAAATGATAAAAAAACAAATGACCAAGAAATATGGAGTTTGAAAAACCAAAATTGCACTTAATCTTGTTAAACTCTGAATACAAGATGAAAGAGCTACAAATTGCAAAGGGTAAAAAGTCGAAAACAAAGGTACTTGGTCTACAAGCAAATCAAAAAACTGATACATTGGTCAAAGGATGTCCTTACATATGTCCAAGTACCATAAACTCTCTTTCACTATTTGAAACACTTTATTGACTTTTGTTTCACCCAAAGACCCTTACAAAATTATGATTGAAAATAATAGTGAATGAAGTGAATAAAACATAAAAAGAGATAGGGACAAAATTGGAGTGTGATAATAGCCACCTCGTGAATAGGAAATCTTGAATATTGATGGTTTAGGTTTAAGGAAAACCAATGTTTAGTCTTAATTAGCAGTGTTGATATATTTAGGTTCCAAACGAACCAATGTTTTATCCCTAATCGGAAGTGTTGATAAGTTTAGGTTCATAAGAATCAATATTAGTCTTATCAGGCAGTGTAAATGTTGGAGTAAAAGGTTTGGGTGGAAAATATGCATCATGTATATTAAAGTTAGCTTAGGACTTCGGTCCAATGTTTAAGACTACGGTTCATTGTTTAGGACATCAACCAAGTGTTTAGGATCACTCGGTAATATATCTCTAATATCCGATGATTGTTACCACATGCATGGGGGTAAAGAAAATGAGCATTGCATATTAAATTTTGTCAATTATAGCTGTTTTGATTGTAACTTATGTGTATATTATCCTTATTGTTCTTACATTATTTAATTTATGAACGTATTTTCACCTACTTCTTGTTTTCGAGTTACTATTTATGTATTTTATGCAGATCATTCACATGTTGAAACCAAGAAGTGATAGTTGTCATTTTATGGAGAATTGTGTAGTTTGCCTATTCAACTGTTTTATTTTTATTTATGTTTTCGCCGAACCTTGTCAACTATTAGTATTATTTTAAATTTTGCTCTGATATTATAACATATCATATTATAATATTTTGCTATATCTTATTATTTGTTTTTAAATTGAATTATTATACTATGTTTTGAATTTAAAATTTCACCTTTAAAATAAAATTTAAATGTTGTCAATGTAATACTCTTATTTCATCTTAATATTTTTTTATAATATTTTATAAATTATTATCGAGATTTAAAGTGTTACATAAAAAGAGATCATTCGACTTGATTCAATCCACCAATTCATACTGAAACTCATTGAACCAATTCATACAAATATCGATTTATCAAACAAAAGTATATGGAAGGTTCTATCAAGACTCTGAAAACACAAATGGATTGGTTAGAAAAACAGGTTATCAACCAAGTGGAGTTTTCAATGTCAATACACAAATAAACTCAAAGGACTATTGTAATGCAATCACTATTAATGAAAAGGAAAAAAATGTTACTACAAAAGATCATGTAATATAAGGACTAGAAAAAGAAAGAAAACAGGAAGGAAGCTGCGAACCAATGCAATAAGGTCTAGCCCAAAAGAAAGTTGTGTATTTTTCATTTTTAAAATTTGAAAATTTGTATACAATATATTTGTTTATTGGTTTTTAAAAAAAAAAAGTAAAATAGAAAATAATTTTTAAAAACAAGCCCAAAAGGAAGTTGTGTATTTTTCATTTTAAAAATTTGAAAAGAAACATATGTATACAATATTTCTTTTATTGGTTTTAAAAAAAAGTAAAATAGAAAATAATTTTAAAATACAAGCCATTTTTCATTTTCAAAATTTGAAAAGCAGCTTATATATACAATATTTTTGTTTATTGATTTTAATAAAAAGTAAAATAAAAAATAATTTTTAAAGAGTTTAATTGTTATATATATTTTACAGTGTCATCTAATATAAATATATTATTCATAAATATATTACTCTGTCATATTATATAAGTAGTTTAAAATTTTCAGTATGACTTGACGGAATGCATGGTCGTCATTGATTGACGGTGTAAAAAAAAATTTCACGAGTGCGTTTCTCTTTTTTTTTTTTAAAAACAATTTTATAATATTATATAATCAAACCAATTTTAAATTTTTAAAATCAAATCAAACAGACTCTTAAATTTATTATTAGTGATATATTATAAGAATAAAGATGTTTATATGATAACGTTGGTGAGTGTTAAAAAGGCGTGACTATTTACTTGTCTTTGTTTATACAAAATAAATTCAAATAATTTGATATTATTCATTAATTCTAATTTAAAAATGTAATAGATCTAATATTGCTCTCACATCTTTGAAAGAAAAAAATAGATCTAACATTTACATTAAAAAAATAGATCAAACCATGTTTCTCTTTCTTTGAGTTAGAAAAAAATAGATTAGATGAATTGTGACAGAAAAAAATAGTTCATTTGTCATTGGGCAGAAAAAAAAAGTAGTGGAGAAAAATATCATACCAATTTCTTTTTAATTATATTTTTAGATATGTGCATTAAACGGGCAGAAAAAAAAAACAGAATTGATAAGAAATATAAAAGATATTATTAAAGAAATAGTTGCGTGCATAACTAGAGTATATAATTGGAGAAAGAAGACAAAGTTGGACATAATTATCAAAAGAGACGCATATGTAAAAAATTCTACTCTAAGCTCACTTGATGTATTTTTTTCTATCAGCATTATTATCCCTTAAATGCAGCGGTATTGGGCGACATGACATGTCATTAAATGTGTGGTGGTTACAAAAGTAACAGCACTGACTTTAAGGTGCTGCAAACAGCAAACAAAAAGATATTTTTAGTAATTTACTCTACTTGTGTCTCATGATGAACCCAAACATACCATGTGTCGTAGATTCCACAAGATAAGGCACAAATCTAAATTCTTCAACCACTTTAAAATTTTCATTTTAATTATATTTTCTGGTTACTTATTTTTCTTCATCATGCTTAAACCGAATGATCCAAACAAAGCAAATCTCAAACATTTGTGTGGAAAAACCCATTTCTGTACCCTAGAGAATCTTAATCTCACGCAAAAGAACATGATTAAACCTAGCAAGATTACAAATTAAATATAAAAAAAAAGAGCGGAACATAATAATAACAAATAAAAACAATTCTTATTTTATATTCACAAAATTGAACATCTTCAATGGGGAAAATAAATTAAGCTTTACGAGTTGATAGAAGCATATCTGAATTGCAAAAAAGAATACAAGCTTATTACAACACTAATAACAATGTCTAGAAAATGCAGTGAAAGTTGAAACCTTCTAGCTAAAACAACACTTGTCACACTTGAGCCATTTCCAAGCAAATTTTTAAAGGAAAAGCGGGGAATTGGTATATATACAAATACATAACTTTACCTGTTAACAAAATAGGATGCTGCTGTTGTTGCAGGAACCAAAGGTATAACAGTGTCAGGAAAATCTGATCTTGGTCCAGCAAGGGAGTAATAAGCAAGAATATGAGCTGGATGATGATTATTAGTTACTAGTCTAGAAGGAATCAACTCGATATTCCAATAGGGTCTAGCCATTGCCAAAAGATCAAGTCCTGATGTTGATGCTCCATAACCTTGTACCCAAAGATACCTCAAAGATGTTAGCCTAGTTGCAGCAACAGCTAATGCATACTCACTGAAAAATGAACATCCTCTCATTTCAAGTTTCTGAAGACTTGGACAACCTTTTGAGAATTCCAAGAGCCCTGCATCTGTTTCTCCGACATAACCGAGAAGTATCCATCTCACGTTTGGACTGTATTGTCCTATGTAACCTAGTCCTACATCAGTTAGACCACCGGGTCTGAGATATAGAGCAAATCTTTTCAGCTTTTCGCAACCTCTCAGCAAAGCCCTCACTCCATTGTCAAGTGGCAAATCAGTTATCTTCTCCTGGCGGTCTAGCAAGACGAGGCGAAAATCACAAAGGTTTTTCAAGTGAGTTCCAATGTGTTCTAGAGAGGCATTTGTAATGTCAGATACATAAACAGCCATGTATTCGAGCTCTGGACAGCCATGTGATAGGGCAATAAGTCCTCTCTGGGAAACAATACCATCTTCATCTTCCATTCCTGGACCGTCGTCGTCGCCTCTTTCGATCCTTAGCCTTTTCAGCTTCTTACAGCAACGGGCAAGTACTTCTAATCCTCTGTCTCCGATTACATTCCTTGACTGTCCATGAGGAAAAGATATTTGGTTTATTGTTAAAAATTCAAATGCAGTTTTGGTCATTCAAAATATCCTTTTTAACCATCCAAATTAGTACCCAACGCAACAATATTGATAGTTTTAGCCACAATATTGATAATTTTGAAATCAAAGTTTTAAATTGCAGTCACCAATGCAACATAAAGTTTTTGGAGGCTTCCATGACTATAATATTGTGGCTGCATTGGCAACACTAATCCACAATACCGGAGATCACAGTGCAATTGTGACTGCAATTTAAAAATGAGTAAAATATACATAGACTTCTGCATAGTGGATAAATTTTGAAGGCTAGACTATTAAAATTGAAAGACCACGAAACTAGATTACAAGAATCATGGCAAGGATTTGAAGGGTGAGCAAATTTAACTAGAGAAAGTTCTAGAATCTTACCTCAAGGATTTCCAAGTTGGGGCATTTCTCAATTAATGTACAATGATCCTCTGTATCCAGCATTGCATAGATAAGATCCAATTTTTTCAGTTGGGCCGCATAAGGGAATGCAATTGGCATTTCATTCTTTCCAATATATGTCAAACCCAATCGATTTAACTTTGCTGGCAATGATACAGCAGCATACTTTTCTGGATCTTCATTGTAGAAACCTCCACAAAATTCTTCGAGAGAAGATGCATATCGAAAGAAGTTTACTAGACTTAAGATTTCACAATCAGTAATTTTCACAGAGACCAAGTTGGGGCAGTTTTTTGCTACAAGTTCAAGGTCCTGAATCCTGATACTGCTAATATCAGTCAAGTAAAAATTCAGTGTCTCAAGAAATGTATTATTCAAAGCAAGCTCACGCAGCCATTCACCATCTTTCTCATCAACTGAGCTTTCCTCCATAAACAAGACTCTTAAATTCCTGCCAGCAAGAAAATTCATTCACAGTTTAGTAACCTTGGATTTATAAAAGCAAGCATAGGTTCTTTTCTACTTCCAAGTTCCAAGAAGAAATGACTTAGACAAAGTGCAAGTTTGGATCAACTTATTTGAGTTTTCATATTGAGATTGTTTGGAAAAGCGAATTAGCTTATGGCATGACCGACCATATGCCACTTTCAGCATATTTCCATAAGCTTTCTAAGATAGTTTATGAAAAAAGTTTGACTTTATTTTATCTTTTAAGCTGTTGATCCAAACAGAACCCAATAAAGTTGAAACATCTCACATCTACCCTCCCCTGTCAAAAAAAATAATTTGAAGGAGTGAGAGCATATCCATAAAAGAAAAGACACTAAATGAGGTTCTAAATTAGCTGCAATCTTAACAAAGAGTCCAATCTAACTGGTGATTAGAGTAGAAGCTCAGAGATGAAAAAAAAAAACTAATTAATCTGAAAAGGCATAATAACATAAACCCTTTGATTAATGAATGAAAGGGGCATAAGCTAAGAATAAGACCGCTTGGAAAATGAGGCTGAGAAGTGTATGGTGGCAAGTCAGAGAATAAAGCAGTCACGAATATAATAATATAATTAGATGTGCAAAGACTAGAAGCTAAGTATATTAGCTAAGCGAGTTGGTGGCTTCTTAATTCCCACTAACTTGACATATACCATTAATTTGAATAATGTGTAATAAAAAAAACAATGTATAGGATTGGTTGCATCATCCAGCTCAAGTGAAAAAGTCAAATTTGAATTTTTCATACAAAACAAAAAATTAGGAGGACTTCGACAATCATGTTCCTACAAGTTTCAAGGAATCGGTCATCATAGTTTTAGTTTAACAGTTATAGTAGTTCCATCATTCTCAGTCCTGCTCATCAATGATCAATCACAAAAATGTTCTGTTCATTAGCAGGAGTAGGAAATCCAGCAGCATGAAATGAGCTAACTCAGTTTAAAGTTGACACATTTAACATCTTTGGATCAAAATGAAATTCAAAAAGGCATGTCTACCCAACCCATATACACAATTACCATAACTCCTAGTTTAGTCCCTTGAGTTATTTTAGTAGAAAGACATAGACAACAAAACTCTGGCTCAAGTTTTAACACGGATGCATTCTCTGACCAGCATGAGAGCAACAATCATGACATCAGGGTTCAATGTGATCTAGACCATAACATCAAAGTTAACAATGACAATATCATTTGTTTGAGATTCTTGAAAATATCAACGATTGTGAATTAGACAATATTAGGATTTTGAGTGGTAGATAATAATATACTAAAATGGAACACACTATCTTCTGAAAAAGAGATATGAATAGAACAAAAAGAAAAAGTTTCTCTTGAAAACAATCTGAAATACAAGCATGTAGTATATCAATAACAGAACAGAGGATTTTTCTTTTTTTATATGAAACCGAGAATTTTCAATACAAATGAAGCATTGAAAACTCATGAAAATAGAAACAATTTTTCTCAAAAATATTTTTTAAAAAAACAGTTTTTAAATAGAAAAATTGAATGAATACCCAAAAACGCTCAAATGAAATGAGAAGATCTCTTCTAATTTTACCAAGTACCCAATTTTAAACTAGACTTTGAGCATGATTGTATGAATTATTTTTCTCATAACTTGGAAAAAATATATAAATAAATAAAAAAATTATACAGCCATGATTACAACCTAACCACAATTGATCCATTAAATTCTCCGTAGATAAATATTAATACATATTAGTTCTTATATAGCAATTTTTTTCTTTCATTAAAGTTTTAATTCAGATCCTTCAACACCTTACAATTAAGCACAATTCTTGGCAATACTATATTAAAAAGTTACTTTTTTTAATTAACAAAATAAAGTTACTACTTAAAACATTGATTCTACTATCCATATAAAAATAGAAATTACCACTTACTTGCAAGAGTGACAAATATAGTAAAGTCCATCCGTTGAAAATCCAGAACACTTTTCAAGCTTAAGAGCATGAAGACTTTGATGACGTGAACGAGCGAGAATCTGAAGATCAGAATCCGTAACAATCATCCGACGAAAGTGCAACGACTTCAAACAATCGAAGTATTTCGAAATCTCTCTAACCCAAGGAGTCACGAATCCTCCCCAATCCTCCGGTATCAAGTTAAACATCGCCGCTCTAGGTTTTCCCTTGAGCTTCAGTGATTCCAGATGAGGAAACCGTCGGCGGAGCCGGTCCGGCGTGGTGGTATAGCATAAAGCAATCGTGATGTGCTTCCTCGTCGACGAATCGAGCTCGTACCACCGCTTACACACCTGAGAAATCGCGTCTCGGTCTTTGGAATCGTGGACGTACGGTAACACGCAGTCGAGAACGACGTCGGTTAATCTAGCGCTCATTTTTCCGACGCCGGGACACGTGTCTTTCTCCTCCATAACTGAAACGGTTACCGAAGATCTCGGGCTTTTTGTTTGTTTGTTAGTTATATCGGATCGGATACGAACCTAGAGATTTTTCGGTTCGGGGTAACAGATTTGATGACACGTGTGAGGTTTGTGAGGATGAAACGCGCGATGAACGATGAAGAAGAAGGTTTAAGAGGGGGATAATTTTTACACTGAAGACGAGCCAATTGGATCGGGACCGAACCGCCGACCGGGCCAATCGGAGATGGAAAGAGGAATAGGGTGTGAGGAATAATACATAGTGGGAGAGAGACAGAATGAACGGTGGAAATTGAGAGATGAAAGAGGAATCGAACGGTGAGAGACGGGATAGTATTGATATTTATAATAATTTATAATTAAATAATTAATATTATGCTATTAGAGGAGGGTGGGAGATGATAAGTGAGAGAGAATGTGATGAGAGAAAGAGTAAAAACTAGAACTTGAAAGAAACTAGATAGGGAAGTAAACGACAAAACTGTTTTTCATAGAGTTTATAATTATTTAATTGATAATAATATGTAAATATATAAAGGACCATTTGTGTATGAATGAATGATCTAGTGGTGTTGTATTGAACTAAGAAGTCTTTGGATCTGAGAAGAAATTGATGCAATTAAATCTTGTGCGTAGATTTGACATAAATGTTATTTAAGCATAATATCGTATTTACTGTTCTGTAACAGTACTAAAAAAATTAGTAATTTGATTTGATTTTTCAAGGGCATTTTGATTTGAAGATAGTGGAATTGAAAAGAAAAAAAAAAAACTCAATGTTCATAGTTGGATTATTCATCATCCATAATCAATATATAATAATTATTTAACGTTATACTAATTCATATACATTATTTTTGTTTTTTAAGAAGCTAATTATGAAATTGATTATATTTATAATCAAATTTTATAATTGATTATAAATTTTTTAATTGATCTTAACAAAATTTAATTAAATTAGTTGTTAAGAGTTTTTTTAATAATTTAAATACTATAATCGGTTAATACGGGTGTGTAACCGGTTATATGTGTCAAAATAAGTCAAATAAGTTAAAGAAAAGTGATTTTGGCATTAGTGTAATCAATTAGGCATTCGTAGTAACCGGTTACCACTATTAATCAATTTTTGTTTTATTTCAGCTTTAGTTGGTTAGAAGTTTTATGTAACTGATTAAAGGTCCAAGAATTTTGTTTTTCAATTATTTGACTTATGTAACTTGTGTCGCAATCAAATTGTAATGTTTGTATAAATTTCTTTGAGACATCCTCATCTATGTTAACGAAAAATGATCTCGTCCTCAATTAATTTCTCTTTCCCTCTTCACACTCTAATTTTTCCATTATTCACCAATCTTGTTATTCCAAGTTCTAACATTTGGCATCACGAACCTGGTTGTGATGCACAAACATCTAGTGTGCAACATGAATTCTTTCTCCAATAAAAAAATCCTTGCAAACCTACGCATCCTTGATGTGAAGAATTACGACAAATTATGCAAACAAATGAAAGTGTTGTTTGGCTACCAATATGTTCTTGAAGTGATCAACAATGGGATGAATCCTCTTGTTGAAGGTTCAACTGATGCACAGCGAGCAACGCATAAGGAAGATAAGAATAAATATTTCAAGACGTTATTTTTTATCCATCAATGTGTGGATGGTGATAACTTTAAGAAGTTGGTGATTGTGAACTGTGAAAGTAAGCGTGGAAAATCTTAGAGAATGCATACGCAGGGGATGACAAGGCGAAGGTGGTGAGGTTACAAACTCACAAGCTTCAAATTGAATTAATTCAAATGGAGGAAAACGAAACGATCAACAAATTTATAATGAGAATCACTCAGTTGGTGAATCAAGTGAATGCATGTTGAGAAACAGTCACGAAGCAGTATGTTGTCGCGAAAATCTTACGTTTTTTAACGCCATGATTTGACAGTGTTGTTGTAGCGATTGAGGAATCAAAGGATCTAGTGACTATGAGCAAATAGGAGTTACAAAGCTATCTAAAGGCCCATGAGCAAAGGATGATTGAGAGAAATAATGATAAGGTAAAGGAAAAGATCACTTTGCAATACTACGCCAAAATTGATTTTTGACAGCTACAAAGACAGTGCTTTTTCCCAAAAGCACTGCTAAAGTTTAAAAAAAAACAAGGGAAAAAAGCGCTGCTAAAGTATGCCTTTAGAAAGCGCTTCTGAAAAGTGTTGCTAAAGGTCATACCTAAGCTACACAATAGAAAGCGCTGCTAAAGGCCTACATCAAAAAGCACTTTACAAAAGCGTCGTTATATGTCATGTCTAAGTCACACCTTAGACGGCGCTTTCCAAAAGCGTTGCAAAAGGTCTAGGATACGAAAGCACTTTGTAAGCAAAAGCGCTGCTATAGATATAGGATAAGAAAGCGCTTTCAAATGCGCTGCTATAGGTAATTAAATTCTAAAAATAAAACAATTTTTATGTTTTGGAAACCCATCAATTCTCTCTCTCTCTCTCTCTCTCTCTCTCTCTCTCTCTCTCTCTCTCTCTCTCTCTCTCTCGTGACTACATACGCTCTCTATTCGTAATCCTATCAAAGCTACTCCATCTGCCATATCTCCCTCCGACCGGTCGTCTTCTCTCTCGTGACTACTCCCTCCGCCTTAGCACCCTCCGCCCGACTCCAGTTTTGTCCTTCTCCCTCTGTTCACGCCCGGCCGCGCTCCACCATTTTTAAGGTATTTCTTCATTTTCTTCATTTTTAAGATTATTTGCAAGGTATTTCTTCATTTTCTTTTTTGGATTCATAAACCATGAAATACATTGTGATGTTGTTGTTATTTGAATTCAATAGAAGCTTAAATGACATTATTGGTGAATTAGTGTTGAAGATGTGAATGTAATGATATTAATTGTTGGAATGAATCGATGAGTTTGTTTGTTGTGGAAACAATTGAAATGAGACGTTGAAAGTGTTGTTCTGGATGTTTTTTGAATTTGATTTCAAAATTTTGTTGTAGTAAGGTTCAAGATGATGAATAGGGATATTTGTGATGAATTTATTTTGAGTTGGTGTTAATTTTGTAAGTTAATGTTGAATGTTAGTGATGAAGTTGTTGAAAATAATTGACAATAATAACATTGTTGATGGATAATTGTTGAATGTTAGTGATTACATTATTGAATGTTAGTGATTAATTTGTTTTGATAGAACTTCGTTTTGATCTAAATGTTGATTGAAAATGTAAATTAGTGATTACTTTGTTTTGATTAAAATGTTGATTGAAAATGATAATAAAATTAATTGTTAATTATTAAGGTTGAAGATGATGAATAATGATGACATTGTGATATTATTTTTGATAGTCATTGGTGATGTTGTTGATTGAAACTTGAATGACATTCGTGAATTAATTGTTGAATATTGTTATTGTTAGAACACAGATTGGTTCTTAATAATATCTCTATATTTTGATAATAACTAATATGAAATTTTGTATTTAAGAATTATATACTCTAAAATTTGCTTGAGAGTTTTTACTGCAGATAGTAAAGGAATCAACACTCCAGAAGCAAATCAGAATTGAACATAAGAAATTTCCTAGACTCTGAAGCGCCAGATGCATATATTAGAAGATTCTGATTGCTGCCAACAGAAGATCCTGAGCGTAGCCTCCAGAAGATTCTGAAGCAGAAGCTCCAGAAGGATCTGAAGCAGAAGCTCCAGAAGAATCTGAAGCAAGTCAGAAGCATCTGAACAAAAGAAGAATTATGTATGAAGAGTTTTTCAAAGCATAGTTTCTACAGAAGATTCTGAAAGTACTAAAGCTGCCAGTACTGAAGTTCTGTCTCAAATATGCTCTGATCTTAAACACACTGAAAGCACACCTGCTGCAGAAGACTCTGATTCAGCAAGACTTTGATCATCATCAGAAGACTCTGACCCAATTAGACTCTGATGAATTTGCTGAAAACTGGAGAAGAATTATTCAAAGAATATATCTGGTGGAGTGAACCAAACGTCTTTTTCCTTATTTATGCTAGACACAAGAACACAGACAAAAAGGATTTTTCTGTGCTTTCTTCTTCTAGGAAATGTCACTTGATGTGAAGACAAAAAGGCTCAGACCTTTTGGACACTCTTCTCAACGTGAAGCTCACCTTGGATCAGCTGCCTATAAAAGCAGGACTCCATCAAATTCTTCAGTTGACGTTTGCATTGAAAAGAAATCAACATTCAAGCTCTCATACTTTCATATTCATTCTAAGAATTTATTTCTTTGTTCTAAATAGTTAAGTGAAAAATCACAGTAGTGATAAAGCTTTATAGAAGCAATCTTAAACACTTGTATTGATTTTACATTTGATTATAATCCTTAAGAATATCCAGTTAGGATCAGTAGTTCTTGAAAAGACTTTGAACAATTGTTCTAAGTGCTTACAATTGTAATCAGTTGATTAAATAGTGGATTAAGTCCTTGATTGAGAAAGGCAAATCACTCTAGGAAGGGTGGACTGGAGTAGTTGAGTTCAACGAACCAGGATAAAAATACTTGAGTTTTTTATTTCTAAGTTTTAATCTTCATACTTATTCAACCCCCCTTCTAAGTATTATATCACCTTCAGTTGGGATCAGAGCTCCGGTTCTGTGTGTGCTATCACTTAATAGTGACATTAAAGATCCAGAGAGAAATACTTTGATATATATTTGGTTGTTACTATGGCTGATAATACAATGTCTAACATTAACAACAAATATTAAGAAAGGGACAAAATCAGCACCAAACCCCCTATGTTTGATGGGGGGAAATTTGATTATTGGAAAGACAGAATAGAAAGTTTTTTCCTTGGATATGATGCTGATTTATGGGATCTGGTCATAGATGGATATGTTCATCCCACATATGGGAATGGCAAGAAGATAGACAGAAAATCTATGACAGATGCTCAGAAGAAAGAATTTAGAAATCATCACAAGGCCAAAACAATATTGTTGAATGCAATATCTCATACTGA